TATATACATCATGAAATATTCCTACATCCTTAGTTTCCAAACGGTTTCACTCAACCAATTATTTCAGTAACTCCAAGGAACATCTCGATACATCGATTCATAAATTGCACACTTCCGGTTACAAGATCGTCAGTCGAAAGCGCGCGTGCACCGAAGACGGATCGTGGCTCCGCGAAATTGTTTCTCGTTTTAATTGTGCTTACCGAGTTTATCGGGTCCATCCGTCGTGCTGTTGTTCCGGTGACTGACAGTCGTGTTGGTAGTTTTATTTCGCGGCGGTGCCAACGTGAATCCACCTGGTTTTCTGAACCTGTTCGCCGACGTTCCCGGGGTTCGAAGAGACGTTACCGTGCTCTTGGTGGTATTCACCTGTTTGCGGAGCACACGCAGATTGTATTTGATGTCGACAGAGCCAAAAACGGTGAGTGCTATTCTCTTTCTTTGCAATGGGACCGTTGCTCGATCAATTCTTTTTGCTCGACCAAATCGATCAATTGGTATAAGCGAATCCTCGTGAAAACCTAGACGTGACGCATTTACTCCCGGAAGCGAAAAGTGAATTTTGTTTGAAACAGCTCTGCTCCCCTTTATTGGAAAGCAGAGTTGTTTTCGAATGATTTGCTCGATTGAAAAAGAGTTTAGTTGATTTAGTCATCATTTAGTCACAGTTGGATACTATGGCGGGAATTCGTTTGAAATTGAAGTCAGTTGCAGGCCACTTTTCAGTTAGGTGGCGCTGTACTTGTCAGTGTCGGTAATTGACAACTCTGTACTGTCTTTTTCATTTTGTCAACGAAATAATAGGGTTTAACACGTTCCGTGCCACGGAAATTTCGGTTGTATTTTGATTATGAACAACAAATATACAAAAATTAACGTGTACCACATGTGGCACACGTGGCACTGAACGTGTTAATGAACTTTTTAATTCGATTTCTAAAATAAATAGATTTTAAAAGAGAAAAGTGAGTGATTGTTTTCCGTGGTCTTATACCGATTGAGCTAGTCAGCCATATTTGAAACGGTCGTTCGAGAGAATAGAGCACTGAGACGACTATTAGACTGTTGCTCACAAAATGGCGGATTTCAAGATCCTCCAATATTAACCCTTTGCGGAAGATTCTTCGAGATGTACAAAACCGTCAACAGATGAAGGTAAATTATATATTAATTACTCAAACAATAGCAGAAACAGAAACTACATGCTAATCTATTGTCCGAGCAGTTGAATCATTCGCCATCATTCAACATGCCGAAATGATGTTCGTCCGCAGAGGGTTAAAACAATGATTTTTATTCATTGGCCAATAAGCGATCTGTTGTTTTATGCAAACACGTGATACATTTGAAATTGAATATAATACAATATAAATAATACTTTATATATATAAATTATATATAAAATTATATTATATATAATCATATTCTTTATATTTTTCATTTAATCTTGAATATAATATAATACTTTAGCTTCGCTTCCCGATTCAAAATGGCGGAGGGTATCAAACGAAGGCCATTACTGGAACAACCGATATAAACAAAGTTAGGTCGCTTATTGGTGCATCACACGTATTCAAATAACTCAAGCAAACATCTCTTAACACGTTGGGTGCCACGAGGGTCACCTTTGACCTCAACCGAATCAAATTATTCTAATCCATTCGATTAAAGAATAATTATTTGAAAACTTATCTCACAAGTAACACCACCTAACGCAGTAACATTCGACAAACCTGCAATAATAATAATAATCTAATATTCCATTGTTATCATTTTCCATATTCCTCTCATGAAAATCGCACAGCACTCAACGTGTTAGAAATCACAAAACGAATAAAAGATCACGATCCTATATCCGCCATTTTGCACGCAGCGCGGAACAGGCGCAACTAAATTAGAGGTCAAGCGAGCGACACATAATTTCCGGCTAAGCGTGAACCCTTCGTAGTTCGGAGTCGTAACATCGCGCGAACGCAGTTGCATAAAAGAGAATATAGAGGTGGGCAGCAACGGTGCCCGTTAGCCACCGCGACGACCTTCATAGTCGAAGACACGAAAGTTTCTACTGCAGTCCACGACAAGGTGAATATAGAGACGGTAATGATGAAGCTCAGGCTGGGGTACATAAAGTGGCGCGCGATAGCGTGCGACACGCGCCATTGTTGCGATAGTAGGAGGGAAGATAAAGTTTGTGTTAATTTGCCCGGAGAAGTATAGAGAAAAAAATCTGCAGGCAGATGAAGAATAGGCGCAGGCATGGACGACGATGCAGGTCCCCGTCGAGTTCTCCTTCCGTGCAACAAGATCCTCTCTCTCTCTCTCTCTCTCCCGCTCTTTCTCTCAAAAAAACCACCATTCTTCCTGAGGGTAACACACGGTCCGGTCAAACGTCGTCCGAGGATCGGATACATCCGAGAAGATGCGGGTAATCCCCATGGCCTGTTAGGCGAGAGCAAAGTAAAGCCGTAGGACGCGCAGACGATAATCCTCGTGTTCGATTAGTCACAGGCCATTCTCTCTTTTTTATTTATTTTTATTATTTTTTCATGAACGACGCCGTTGATTCGTCCCTTTTGTTACGCTTTCTTATCGATAGCTTTGGTTAGACGGGAAAGATCAGCGAGCAAACGTTAGCCCTACGTTTCTACTAGGTGTTATGCGGTCGTCCCGTTCGCCGTTACGCTTCTATCCCCGAGCAAACGAGTTGTCTATGTCTAAACTGACCTCAGCTTCGCTTCGACCGACACTTTCCTCGACCCTGACCCCTTCCTCCGCGTTTCCTCCGCCCTTCCCGACCTGCTTTCGCTTCTTGCCGCCGACCTTCGATCCTTTACGGTAACCACGCGGGCTTGGCTCCTCGGACGCTTCCGGGACCGAGTCGCCGACGACGCTCGTCGACGGCCTGCGCTTTCGTCCTCTGTACACGTGCACGCGACGGCGCGGCAGCTGCGTCTTCCTCGCGTCTTTCACCAGGTTCTCCTGGTCGCTCGGCGGCTTGACCCGACCCCGGTTCCCTCGGCGACCGAACTCCTGGAGGTTCACCTTTTGTCTGCTGCGAACCGGTGCTGTCTCTGTTGTTGCGTTCTGATTGTCGTTTTCTGAGTGTCTTGATCGATGGTTCGGTGTGGAGGTCGCTGTTGAGGATTCTGGGGCTGGGCTAGGTTCTTGGGAAGCAGTCGCTGTTTCGGTGATGTTTTCTGGTGGAATCTGAACCTTGTTTCTTGCTTCTTGGGTGGTTGAGTTCATTGTAGAGTGGTCAGAATCTTGTTTAAATCCTTGCGAACTAGTTGTTTCTGTTACGTTCTCTGCTGGAATATCTCGATCCTCTTTCTTGCTTATTGCAACTTGGTTTATTGTCGAGTTCACTGTGGAGGATTCAGAATCTTGTTTAAATCCTTGCGAAGTAATTGCTTCAGTTATGTTCTCTGCTGGAATACTTCGATCCTCTTTCTTGCTTATTGCACCTTGGTTCACTGTAGAGGATTCAGAATCTAGTTTAAATCCACTAGTCATAGTTTCAGTTACATTCTCCGATGAAGTATCTCGATCCTCTTTCACCTTGCTCCTCGCTTCTTCTGTCGAAGACTCCATCAGACTATCCATTCCCACGTTCTCTGAAACGTCGCTGCGACTAGTCACAGACAACCGCGACTCGATTACGTTCTCCGTGATTGGAGACTCATTCAGAGCCTCAGGGAAAGCATCGTAACCCTTAGTGCTCGAAGACAAGAGGTCATTCAGTAATCCTTTCGCAACGGTAGCCTCAACTTCAGTCACTGGAGCCACAGTTGATTCAGTCATCGGTACAGTCGACCCGACAGCTGTAGACGAATCCCTATTTTCCTTAGAGGACGTTTCAGTAATCGCTGCTATCGTGGAAGACTCCCTATCCTTGACCTCATTCTGCTTAACCAAAGCAGCCTCCGTTCTGCCTCTGTGTCTACTTCTGCCTTTATTCCTAGTAGCGCGTCTATGACCATCCGCAGCCTCGGTAGTAGTCCTCGACCCCCTGCGTCGAGGTCGCACAGTGGTCGCCCGAGGACTATTGTCTCTGGGAACAGTCGCAGGCTGTTCGACCGTCGTCGAACTTGTAACTTCGGTAACAGGTTCTTCCGTAGGCAGGACAGTGGTCTCAGCAGTGACCATCTCGGTGACCTCGTCGCCGGGCGGTTCCGTCTGTCCCTTAGTGACGTAGAATCCTCTCGGCGGCTGATTCTGTATCAGCCGAGTGAGAGGAGTGCCTCGCATGGTGGTCGGCCTTAGGGTGGTGGTGGAGTCCTCGCGGTCGATCCTCTTCCTGGCCAGCGAGGACTCCTCTTCGTCCGCCGCGTTATCCTCGTCGTAATAGGCGCGCAGCTTGTCGCCGATCGGGTCCAGCTCGGCCTGTTTCGCCTTGGCCAGAATCCAAGGGTCCCTATCGTCCGCCGGGGGACCCTGTTCGGGGGCCTCCCCGTTCGAGGGGCCGTCGGCCGGCCGGCTCTCGTCGTTCCGACGAACGAGGCCCGTCCGATTCTCGAGCAAGCTCAAATACACAGGCGAAGCACTGTCGGCGGCCCTCGGGCCGATAAGTTCCTTCAGGGTCGGCAGTCTAATTGCCTCCGAGCCGGCGACCTGAAAATCAGAAGAAGGCAAGCACGCTTAATGCACGATCCCCGGCTCCGTCCTCCCCTGCGTTCGGGTCGACTCCGTCCTGGAGGAGTAGAGGCGGAGAGAGAAGACGAAAGATACACGGCGGCCGATCTCTCCGATCGTTGTCCTCTTTATCGAGCGTGTCCGTGAAATGTGTCCAAGAGAAGCATCCTCGCGGAGCGACTCTCCGCTTCCTCGAGTGACCGCATGCCGATCGGGAGTCAGGCGTTAGCCAGGACGTTTCGCGCGACGCTAATCGAAGTTCTACGAATGAATGATGCATGAGAGATGAGACTTCCCCGCTTGCTGTGTCCTCCAATGGATGAAGATGAACGCTATGTACAGTTACGCCGCGACGGCCTCGCGACGCCTCACTGGCCGGCCTCCCTGCCGGCGATCAAGTTGCTGAACACAGACTCGATCTCGATGGTGGAGGACTCGTGGGACTCGGTGGTGACGCGGCCGGCGCGATGGAGGAACTCGCCCTCGATCGGCAGCGTGGACCGCTCCACCATCCCCTGCCTGATCTCGTTCGCCGACTCGTCCTCGGAGGAGTCCTTGGGCGCGTCGGCCACCGACGAGGGCGTCGTCTGCACCGGTATCCTCGTGGTGGAGGTCAGGGACGAGTACTTCGTCTTGATGAGGATCTTCTGCCGCTCGGTGGTGGCGGACTCCTCGACGGAGGTCACCAGCCTGGTCACCAGCGGCTGCGACGAGGGCGTCGTCGCGTACTCCAGCTCCACCAGGTTCTGGTCCGCCCTGTCCTCGCTGGGACTCGGGCTCGTCGAGTCCTCGCTCCTCTTCGGCTCCTCGTTCGCGCTCCTGGGAGTGGTCCGCAGCGACTGCTGCCTCCTGTGGGCGTCGGCCACGTAGTCGAACCGCTTCGCGGGGATCAGCGTCTCCGTGACCGCGGACTCGGTGCTGGTGGCCGGCCGCCGCGCGTAGAACCGCGTCCTGACGTGCGTCGACGAGTCGAAGCTAGGCGACTGCGTCGCGTCCAGCGCCTCCTCCTGCTCCTCCCGCGTGCCCTCCTCGTACCTGACCCGCGTCCTGGGCTGCCGGAAGCTCTGGTACCTGGGCTTCGACTCGTTGCTGTCCTCGGACTCCTCCGGCGACGAGTCCGCGGCGTACGCGCCCTCCGTGCTCACCTTCCGCAGCGAGTCGGGCACCCTGTACCTGGGCCTGCTGTCCGGCCGGCGGTTGGGCCTGCTCGTGGACTGGTAGACCTCCTCGCTGCCCGTCGGCAGAGACTCGCCCGCCTCTTGCGGGACCAACGAGGACGGGTGGTCCGTCGACGGAGTGGTGTACTGGCTCCAGAACTCCCTCGAGTCGCTGCTCGTCGGCAGGCTGATCTCGAACACGCTGTCCCGGCTGGTCCTGGGCGTGGTCTCCGACGACGCCTCCTCCTCCTCGAGGTTCAGGTTCTCGTTCGACTCCTCTACGAAGCCCGTGGTCCTGCTGGTCGTCGACGTGACCGGTCTGCGGCGGATGAACAGGCTCTTCCTCCGCTTCGACGCTCCCTCGAGGTTGCTTATCTCCGTCGTCGAGGACACTCGAACAAGAGTGTTCGATGGCGCGACCTGTCCTGCGTTGTCCGAAGATTCCACCGGTCTTCTGCGCACGAACTTCTTCCTGACGAACCTGGAGTCCAGGTAGTACGTCCTGTTGTACGGCTCCAGTCGCCGGCTGGTAGGAGCCGACGTCGACGTCGCTACAGTCTCAGACTGACTCGTCGAGGTCTCCTCCAGAGTGTTCTCCGTGTCCGCGAACTTGATTAGGAACGGCGTCGTCGGTTCCGTCGAGGCGTCCGTGGTCTCTCCGCTCTGAGTCGCAGTGAAGTTGTCGACCAACGTCGACGCCATCGTGGCCGCGTCGGAGTTCTCGAAGTACTCGTCGATCGTGCTTCCCGGCGTCTCGAAGCCGGCTGCAGTGAAATCGTTGATCACGATGTAGTCCACGGTCCCCGCGGTCTCCGTCGTCGACGCGGATAGGCTCTCCGTGGAGACGTCAATGCCGGTGATTCCATCAACGGTCGGCAAGCTCGGAGCTTCCTCCTCCTTAGCGGTCGTGGAAGCGAACCTGAGGATGATGCGATCGTCCTCCGTCGGAGGGACTTCCGTGGCATTCTGCACGCGGAGTCGCTTGATGACCTTCCTCCTGCGAGGCGCTGGCTCCTCTTCGTCCTCCTGCGCGGAAGTGGTCGAGGTCACCGGCCTTTTCCTCAACAGGACCTTCCTCCTCCTCGGCACCGTGGCGTTCGCGGCACCAACTTCCTGAACCAGGAAGTTAGTGCTGTTCCCTGGGAAGACGATCTTGATGATGTCAGGATCGAAGTCCTCTATCTTGTTGCTGCCGACAGTCGTCGCCTGCGGGAGTTCAGTGGTCGAAGGCTGATCCGTGACCACTTCGTTCTCCACGATCGACTCCGTGGGGACCGACTCTATAGTGTTAGTCTCGACGAAAGAGTCCGTGGCGTCTTCTAGTCCCAAAGCAGTCGTCTCGTAGCTCTCAACACTCGTGCTCCTAAACTCTTCCGTCGTCGATTCCTTCAAAGCGTCGCTCTCGCTTCCGTCCAGCGTCGTGGAGATAGCCACCGTCGTAGGCGAGTGATTCAAACTCTGAACCTCCTCCTGCTTGCTGCTGCTCTCCTCGTTGTTCCTCTTCCTGGTGTACCTAGTCCTGGCGTAGATGTCCCTGTTCGCGGCGGGCTTCTTGAACACCTTGATGTTCGTGATCTTATCGTTCTCGTCGTCCTTCGCGGCGCTCCTGGCCCTGGAGGACGTCCTCCTGGGCCCGCCCTGCGTGATCCTCACGATGGGACTGTCCTCCAGCTCGTTGCCCTTCGGCCCCTCCGTAACGGCGCGCGAGATGGGCCTGCGGAACCTCCGTCTGGGCGGCTCGGGAGCGCTCTCGGCTGCGCTGGGAGCCTCC